ATATTTGCCTTTTTATCTCTCTCTCTCTCTCTCTCTCTCTCTCTTATGTTGTTCTCTCTATGAATGTTATAATGACGCAAATAATAACTAAAAAATAAATATAATTATTTAACATCCTATTAATTATGTAACAATAATGTTGCGAAATATTGTTGTAATAAATTAGAAAAACCAGAGTGGTAAATTTACTTTATTGTTTGAAATAAATATGTGTACTTCTCAAAAGATTATATAATGCTAATAATTTATGACTAAAATGTGTTTTATTAAATATTATCTACAACAACAACAAGTTTTTTCTAAAATAATTTTCTAATGTAATTATTTATACTTTGTAACAGTAATTAATTGGCACTTAAATTATCCACATAATACAGATAATAGTTTTTTACAACTATTACATAATATTTAATTGTCAGAGAAAATATATAAATAATACATTTAAAATAACAGAGATGAATTGAAACAAAAAACACAAACAAATATTTACTAGATCTCAAAATAAAAAATAACTACAAAAATAAAATTTGTGTCAACAAAAACAAATATGACTTTACTTTCACAAAAAAACTTTACTTTATAACCCACATACTTTATAAACAAAATGTTGTCACTTCTATGAATTTGATACAGAATAAAAGGGACTATCATAAATAATGTATAGTTTAACTGTTTAACTTAAACAAATTAATTAAACTTTTAGAGAAAATATTATAATAGGCATAAATGATGGCCAATGGAGACCGTAGTGTATTATATCACTGTACAAGTACTTTATATTAATTATATATTTTATTTAAAATGATATAAAAATTAATTTGCTTTTAAAATTAATTAACCTAATTATGATAACCAAAAAAAAATTAAAAACATATTTGTTAAATAAATGTATAAAATTTATTAAAAATGAATTTTCAATTATTGATTACTGTATTGTTTACTTTGTTAATAACTCTGTGTTTAAAATGTAGGCCTATTTTAATATTTCATATTTTAAAATTATAAACTTTATTTATTTTGCATATATCTATTATTTTAGGCAATTGCTATGATTATGACTACCCCTATCACCCCTACCCTACCCACCATTTACACCATGGCCACAATCCCTACCATTCACACCATGGCCACAATCCCTACCATTCACACCATGGCCACCATCCCTACCTTTCACATCATACCCACTATCCCCACCATCCTCACCATTCACATAATCCCCACTCATCGAGGTAAGAATTGATTAAATAAGGGTAAAATTATAATGTATTTTCTATGTGAAACTGTAGAGGTATAGCTAATTATGGAATAAATCTTGGCAAAGATGATGGTCAATGGGTTCGTGTGGGTAATATTGAACGTAGAGAGATAACATTTGCACCTAGTGCATATCGCCAGGTTGGAAAAAACGTGATTATATCTGAGCAAGACGAGGAGGAGACTAAACAACTTGCACCTTCCGTAGAGACCTCGGAATATAACTTACCAGACAGAAAGTATGGCAGAAAGTAACTTTTTGTAGTGAATTACACTGTGTAATTATGAATGCTTAATGCTTTTAATAAAAGTTAATTTACATGTTTAAGTTTATTAATTATTTTAAGTATAAATACAACTATTAATTAATTTCAATAAAGTACAGATGTTATAAATTAAATATCTTTTGTACACTTAAAAACATTTTTTGTAAGTAGCACTTTACTTTTTAAATGTTAACAGTCTTGGAGATGCCGTAATACACAGAATTTTACTGTAATTGTAAGAAAAGACCATACTTATATAATTTGTGAACTGTATATTTGATAGTAAAAATAATTTTTATTTTCCATTAAGCGATGAAATACATAACAAGTTGTATTCATTTTAAAATATAATTCAATTGATTCACAAAAAGTTTATAATTATTTTCATTCACAACTAATCTATCATAATTAATTAACAATTAATTAATTCAGAATTTTTATAATTTTAATTATTTAATTAGTTTTAACTTTAAAAATATTAATATAATACAATAAACACAATATTAAATTGAGATAATTGTAATTTTTGATACTTAATAGTAGTTAAAAGTTAATAGTGCTTAATAAATAATAGAAAATATTAGATTTCCAAAAAATATTACATAGTGCTCTTGCACCATATTGTACCAAATTGAGTCCAGTTATATTTTCAAAAATGCTAGAGTTTTAATATAAAGTATTAATAGTACAAATCATGTAAATATACTATTAAACATTAAAGTAAAAGAATTAGTGTATTAATAATCTTTCCAAGACATTGTTATCAAGATAATTTACTTTTTATATTACAAAATAAAACAATACCTTTAAATTCAATCATTTTTTGATGGGTTTTAGCGATAAAATTGTTGTCTTGTTATGTGTTTTGATGTGTTTATCAGTTATGGGTAAACACTTGACGGTAAAATATTGAGAGATTACATTATGCACACTATTGTACAGCAAATAAAAAGTAAGAACATCATGGTTTCTATTGACTACAATTAAGAAAATACTTTATAAATGCAATTTCTTATCACTTATTTGTAACCATTTTGTGAACACATTGTTTTTGTAATAAACCATAATTAATTGCCAAAAATATAAATTAATGACCATTGTACATTATTTACTACAATAGACATTAATCATATATTTTATTGTGCATACAGGAATTATTTTTATAAATTAATAACTCATCTTGATCATTTTTATAATGAATATGCTATACAAGGAAAATATTATGGCCGATGATTTCAATAGAAAGTGTGCTGTTTGTGGCGATCGTGCTCTTGGTAAATATTAATTCATTTATATATTAAAATAATCTTAATAAAATTCAACTTTTTAAAGTTTAATATTAGTTGTTTTTTATAATACTGTAAATTATTATTTGATTAATTGTTTAAATAATACAATTTAACAAGCTAATATTTTATTGGAAAAAATCTTTATAATAATTTGCCCAATTTAAAATTGACGCAAATATTATTACCAAGTAGTTTTTATAAGTTACCATTTGTTTATCTTAAATAAATTAATATATTGTACAATAATAATTTTAATATTTATAAAACTGTAATAAAATAATAGCTATAAAATTGTGAGCATAAAAAAAACTAGTGAAAAATAGTTGTGTAGTTTTAAGTCTAGTTTATAAGAGTGTAAATGTATTGCAATACAAAAGGGCTATCAATGAGAGTGTGTATTAAATATGAGCTCAAAGAGTGTGTATTAAAAGGACTATAAACATAAAGTACCATGGTACAAAAACAGCGCTGTAAATGGTTAACCAAAAAGTGTGATCATGATCAAAGTGTACGATAGCCCAAGTCCTTTTGTTGTTTTATATAATACCTTATATCATTATAAGTAATTTTTATAATAAAACAATACTGATTATCAAAAATTAATCATTATCATCTAGTTAATGCATATACCTAATAAATTATTGATACTTACAATATTTATTTATAAAGGTAACAATTTTGAAGTACTATCATGTCCATCTTGTAAGGCATTTTTTCGGCGCAATGCTACCAGAAATAAGGTATTAAAAATAATTACATAATTTTAGAAATAAATATTACCCGGATAGAATATTTGACATTTATTATGTAAACATTGATAATTAAACACAATAGCAATATAAATGCATTTATGATAACAACTGTGCGATCGATGTCTTAACGAGAAAATACTGCAAAAAATGTCGGCTACAAAAGTGCTACGCTATGGGAATGAAAAAAGTAATTTATTTAAAAATTACCTTGCACAAATAAAGTTTACATTCATAATTATTGTATACATTAAATATTCTTAGGACTGGATCATCATGAACGAATACAAAAAAGGCATAAAACAAAATACCACTAAAAAACCACCAAAAGCACAACAAAAACAAATTACTGAACAATCAAAACCAGACATACCCTATAAAGCCGATGATAATCCATACACCACATTATACACGGAAAATATTAGCCAAGTATATCACTATTCGGGTGATACCAGCCCTACAGACACATCCCTGTTTGACTTCACGGACAGCCAATCACCGCCCATTGACTATACCATAGGCATGTATTTGAGCCCCGATGGTTACTATAGCAACAGTATTACCCCCATTAATATACCGGACACTTTCGATGATATCCCGGTTGACAACGACGTCGAGCGAGAGATTGACACCGAAATCATGGATATATACAGCGCTGTCGAGCGGGTCGTGGATTTAGGGGTGTTGGCGGGCCCGGCGAGACCCCTAACGGATTACCATAATCAGTTTAACGAACTTGAGGGTAGTAAACTGCAACAACTATTGGCCGCCACCAATACGTTTGTCGACTCGGGTGGCCGGGCGTACACAACGAGCTTGTCTAGTATTTTGGGTATGAGTCATCGGCCAAACTTGTTGCAAAGGCACATGCGCCGACTGACCAAGATGTGCCAAAATTTGACCGAGTTTAATAATATTTGCGAGTCCGATAAGATAGCCCTGATGAGTTACGGAAGTATTGACCTGTTCTGTATGCGATCGTTGCCTAATTATGACTACACTCACGAGAGCTGGACGTTTGTTATGGTGTGTATGAATTTTGTTTTAAACTGTAATTTTTGTGTCAATGTTGCAAACAATATATGTTATAATAAGCATAAATATCTTAATGGGTTTTGAGGTTATTGTCCATTTTCTATATTATTTATTCGTGCATTATCTAATAAAATAATTTAGATTTTGAATTTTATGAGTATATAGAGTCTAGTAGACTCTATATACTCATAAACATAAACTGTAACACTGACACTGTCCAGATTAGGGACAGTAGGGTTACCAGATGTCTATTTTTGTAATGGATTGTCTTGTACTTGTTTTANGTCCAGATTAGGGACAGTAGGGTTACCAGATGTCTATTTTTGTAATGGATTGTCTTGTACTTGTTTTATCATGTGAAATCTTATGGAATATGTCATGTGTCTATATTTGTCCATTTTTTCACATCTATATTTTATAAAAATCTATTTTTGATGTAAAATTATCTGGCAAGTCTAATGTAGACACCAAACTGTAACTTATTGTTTATAGATCATATAATATGTATAGATTAATTTTATATGTAATTTATTGGAATTATTATGGTGATTGATATATCTTAATGTGATATAATTATTATATTATCATAATATATTTTTAAGCTTTAATATGGCAATTTTTATATATTTACTTTATGCCAACGGTAATTAAAAACATACGTTAATTAATAAAATAAAAGTAGTGATATATTTATAATTTAAAATGTTATTCTCATTCTATATTTACTATATTAATAAATAAAACACATAATGAGTCCCACAAGCTGTAACATGTTATATTTATAATAATAATATATATTTATAATTATGGTAGTTAATTTAATTGGTATAAAAATTACTTAACTTTTAATCTCATAATTTATTTATTAATTAAATGATTATCTAAAATGATTTTACCAACAGGACAAAGAAAATTCAATCATCATAAGCCTGAACGTGCTGCAAAACATGCCCAGGGACACTTACGAATTGTGCAAACAATTTTTTAAATCCGTTTCCCAAGAATGGGACTCGGATTCTGTAATTCTGGACTTGGTAAGTAATTCATAAAATGCTTAAAAAAAATTAAAATTTATATTTTAATAAATTTTAATTTAGTTGACAGCAATCATATTTTTCAACCCACATCGGCCCAACCTTAAACATAAACACATGGTTAAGTAAGTCTCTATAATTAACCCACACAAATTACCACAATTAAATTATACCGTAACTTCTCGCTAATAGACTACATCAGCACATATACATGCATTTATTGAAACGTTATCTACTATTACGGTATCGGACAGACACAGTGGCCCAGATGAAATACGCTTCCCTAATGAAGAGCTTGATCAATTTCAGGGTACTTGGTCAAAACGGTGGGACCGGGAAGGGTAGGCAACGATCGGTGTCTATTACGGAAGATCCGGAACAGTCTGTTCTGGACCGCCCGGCACTCAGCCTATACTCATTGGTTTTGAACAAGATATTTGAATTCCAGTAGTTTATTAATTGTTGATTAAAATCAAAACTGTTTGAAATTGAATAACAATTATTGTATGCAATGATAGAATATAATTGGATGCCCTATCATGTTAAATATGTTTGTTACGAATACGTAAATAAATACTATGTTAATAACTAAAATGTGTATTTTAACAATTACTTTGGTAAAATAATATTACTCGCCCTTATATCTTCCATTAAATATATAATTTATATTTATTATAAGTAATAATTTTATTATAAACTAATATTTACAGTTTATGATTAACTTGAAAATAATTAATTTACATTAACTTATGTAACTGTAAATTTTTAATTAATTTTGATTGAAGTGTTTTACATAAACTGTTTGTTAAACAATTTTGGATTGTTTTCTTAATGGCTTAATTCGTTATTTAGTAAAAAATATTTTGTGTAATTAAATATAATATATATATATCTTTACTTAAAAAATTAATATCTAAGATAGCGCTAATGAGTTACGGCAGTATTGACCTGTTCTGCATGCGATCGTTGCCTAATTATGACTACACTCACGAGAGCTGGACGTTTGTTATGGTGTGTATTAATGTTGTTTAAAAACTGTAATATTTGTGTCAATGTTGCAAACAATATATGAAGGAGTTTATCGCATACTAAGGTATATACCATTAGTCAATGAATGATTTTATATTAACATTGAACGCAAAAATATTAAAGTATATGTATATTAATATATAAATTTTCTCAATTCAATATGGTCAATCTAATATTATACTTAATGAATAGGATATATACCTTAGTATGCGATAAACTCTTTCATATGTTTTAATAAGTATATTCATATTAATGGCATTGTTACAACTGTCCGTTTTCTTTATTATTTATTTGTGCATTATCTTATAAAATAATTAAATTTTATGAGTATGTAGACACCAACTGTAACTTATTGTTTATAGAACATATAATATATATAGATTAATTTTTAATATGATTCATTGGAACCACAAATGACACGTGATAAATTTTATAATAATTTTACTTTAATATAATTATTTAATTTTTTATGCTGCAAAATGACAACTTTTATATATCTATCAAATAAAGTATACCTAGAAATGAGACTCGGATTCTGTAATTTTAGACTTGGTAAGTAATTCATAAAATTCTCATTCTATGCTCGTTATTAAAATGTATATATTTAAAAATTTTAATTTAATTGACCGCAATCATATTTTTCAACTCACATTGGCCCAACATTAAAAATAAACACATGGTCAAGTAAGTCTCATATAATTACAACAACTAGATTATACCAAAATTTATCACTTATAGACTACATCAGCACATACATGCATTTATTGAAACGTTATCTATTATATGTCTATCAAATAAAGTATACCTATGGTAATTAAAACATATTCTAATTAATTACATAAAAGTAATGATATATTTATATTTTAAAATGCTATTCTCATTCTACATTATTATTCTTACAGTATTAATACAAAAACACATAATGTATCCCACAAACTGTAATATGTAATATTTTATAATAATAATACACATTATAATAATGGTATTTACTCTAATTGGTGTAAAAAATTCATTAACTTTAATTTCATAATTTTTAAATATAATAAATTAATTTATTAAATTATTTTTTAAAATAATTTTACGAACAGGATAAAGAAAATTCATTCATCATAAGTCTAAACGTGCTGCAAGACATGCCCAGGGACACTTACGAATTATGCAAACAATTATTTAAATCCGTTTCCCAGGAATGGGACTTGGATTCTGTAATTTTGGACTTGGTGAGTAATTTATAAAATGCTTAAGCTATTTTTGTTATTAAAGTTTTTTATTTAAAATTTAATTTAGTTGACAGCGATCATATTTTTCAATCTTCATTGGCATAACCTTAAACATAAACACATGGTCAAGTAAGTCTCTATAATTAATCAAATCAAATTACAACAACTGGATTATGCCGTAATTTCTCGCTTATAGACTACATCAGCACATATACATGCACTTATTGAAACGTTATCTATTATTACGGTATCGGACAGACACAGTGGCCCAGTTGAAATACGCTTCCCTGATGAAGAGCCTGATCAATTTCCGGGTATTGGGCCAAAACGGTGGGACCGGGAAGGGTAGGCAACGTTCTGTGTCTATTACTGAAGACCCGGAGCAGTCTGTTCTCGACCGGCCGGCTCTCAGCCTATACTCATTGGTTTTGAACAAGATATTTGAGTTCCAGTAGTTTATTAATTGTTGATTAAAATCACAACTGTTTAAAATTGAATAACAATTATTATATGTAATGATAGAATATAATTGGCTGCCCTATGATGTTAAATATGTTTGTTACGAATACGTAAATAAATACTATGTTAATAACTAAAATGTGTATTTTAACAATTACTTTGGTAAAATAATATTACTCACCCTTAAATCTTCAATTAAATATATAATTTAAATTTATTATAAGTAATAATTTTATTATAAACTAAAATTTACAATTTATGATTAACTTGAAAATAATTAATTTACATTATATAACTGTAAATTTTTAATTGATAGTGTTTTACATAAACTGTTTGTTAAACAATTAAACTTTTTGGGTTGTTTCCTTCGATGGTTTAATTCGTTATTTAGTAAAAAATATTTTGTGTAATTAAATATAAAATATATATATCTTTATTTTAAAAAAATTAATATCTGAAAATTTTTCAAACAAATTATGTTTTTTAATATTACAAATAACTTTAATTTATAGTTTTATTACCCCACAAGCAGCATACAAAATAAATTTTATAGGACATTTTTACCAATTTAATTTTGGGAATGAAAAAGGTAATTAATTATAAATTACCCTGTCATTATAAAGTTTACATTCATAATTATAATATACGTTAAATATTCTTAGGATTGGATTATCATGAACGAATACAAAAAAGGCATAAAACTAAATACAAC